GGATCCTCAAATGGGGATATGGTTGAGTCAGAGATCATAGTGCCAATACAGATCGCAAATGGTCATAGGATTCTTCTGATGGACCTGACCAATGGATTCATTATGGTACGGGCTTTTACCATGATTCTTCCTGCAGCTGTTCTCTCCTGGTATATAACTTCTGAAGGATTGAAATATAATGGTGGGAGAGTTCCCATTCAAGACAGCCATGCCAGAAACAGCAGTAAAATAAAGAGTGAATTCACCACCCACATGCTAGCAGATTCACTACCCTCCCCTGATACAGCCCTCCCATTGTTTTCTCTAGTCCTCTTTCTTCAACAATGTATTTATCTTTTTTCACCAACATATAAATTGTCCACCTAGGTAATGTTTGTGTGTGTGTGCACACGTGCACATTCCATACAAGCTCTAAAACAGCTTTTGTACAGCTGTCTCCTGCTTTGGGCAGCTTGATTTGTCCTTTGTCCTTTTAAAATCAGAACTCAGTAATTACGCTTTTTCAACCACATAATGAATTAATGTGTTCCAGTTACATATAATTGTAAAGGTGTGGAGGTGAGGCCTGTCCCTCTGTTCTATGCAAACACCCTTCCTAGGAAATGGCCTGAGATATACTTGGAAGGCCCGACTAAGAGCCTTTTCTTTTGCCATAGCAAATACAGTCCCATTCATGGCCTTCTGAAATTCAGCAGTTATCAATAAAGCACGGGATCCAGTATTCAAACCGAGTAAAACGATTTACACATTGTTTCTGATTTGGTGCCAGCTTCTGTACTGCATTACTTGCTTATACAACAGGTTAAGGCTCAGAGCATTGTAGATTCCTTATTTCAGCTATTTCCATTCTGATCCCTAACCTGTCAAATACGCTGGTGATGTCTGCATTCTACAGTGCCGCCTACTGGCTATTCATCTAAATGTATTGTCGAAGGCTTTCATGGCCAGTCACTGGGTTGCTGCGGGTTTTTCGGGCTGTATGGCCATGTTCCAGCAGCATTATCTACTAAAATTTCACCTGCATCTGTGGCTGGCATCTTCAGAGGTTCTGTTGGCAGTGAAGCACGTGGAATGTGTATATATCTGTGGAATGTCCAGGGTGGGAGAAAGAACCCTTGCCTTGGAGCGGTTCCCAACCTCTTTTTTAACCAGGGACCACTTCGACCAGGGACCACTCTCCAACATTAGTACCAAAAGGGTTACAAATCAGTTTTTGATCAACTTTAGATTTGGTTTGGTTATTTTGGGTGCTAATTCAGAAAATTACATTAGATAGAACACAGCAGGTCTAGTTTCTGATACAGAACATATGCCATCCATTAGATGGTATCTGCTCACCCACAGAAAACCATATTTAATAATCTAGAGCTGATGTGGCAGTAGTAATATTTCGTGGGTAATCAGCCTCTCGCCACCTGACATCCCCATTGCCTTGGCATTATAAGAGAGTTTCGCGAAACCGGTCACTCTGTTATCACATGGTTTCGAGGCAATGGTGTAGTAATGGTGAGGCCACAAACCATATTTTCATTCTTGGGACTACTGATGGTCTACAGACCATAGGTTGGGAACTACTGGTTTAAAGCAAGTGTGAGTGTTGCAATTAGCAAACTCGAATAGCATTGAGTAGCCATGAAGCTGCAAAGTCAATCAATAAGGGTTCTCAATGAGATTCAAGCTTGCAAATGATATGCTAAAATACGAGAACTTTAGGGCCCTTCCTCACAGCTATATAACCCAGAAAATCAAGGCAGAAAATCCCACAATATCTGCTTTGAATTGGGTTAACTGAGTTCACACTGCCATATATTCCAGTTCAAGGCAGATTTTTTAATTTTTGGTTTTTTCATGTCAGAAGCAACTTGAGAAACTGCAAGTCACTTCTGGTGTGAGAGAATTGGCTGTCTGCAAAGACGTTGCCCAAGGGATGCCCAGATGTTTTTTTATATGTTTTACCATCCTTGTGGGAGGCTTCTCTTGTGTCCCTGCATGGGGAACTGGAGCTGTTAGGGGGACCTCATCTGCACTCTTCCCAGATTCAAAACTGAAACCTGTCAGTCTTCAATCCTGCTGGCACAAGGGTTTAACCCACTGCGCCACCGGGGGCTCCACTTCAGAGCAGATAATGTGGGATTTTATTCAGCTGTGTGGAAGGGGCCTCTGGGGCTTCTATACTGCCATATAAAATCCAGATTATCTGCTTTGAAGTAGATTATATCCCAGTGTATCATTACATTTTAGTGGGATACACCCCTTCTCCAGAACATCTCATTAAATTACTGTAAAACAGATCCAACAATATGTTTTAAAGTTGGCAAGTGCTTCAATACTCTAATGAGATTATTATTTGATTGTTTGGGAAGGACCCAAAAATGATTTTATTTCAGAGATTTTTTACTGAATGTTCTGAAAGGAGAGAAGGTGGCTTATCCTCTTCCTCAACTCTACTACATTTTAAGATATATGAAAAGAACAGGCCAAAGAAAGAGCCATAGAAGAAGGTAGGGACAGCTAGAACTGACAACTAGTGGCCAGCTGAAAGCACCCAGTGGGATCCAAGTACCCCTCTCTGGGGGACTATCCTGGCATATTGGATGGACTACAATATTAAGGGACATGTATACATGTTGTATTTAACAGTGGTCTGTTCACATATCTTGTAGCTTTTACAAATGTATATACACTATACAGGCCCGTAGCCAGGATTTTGATTCGGGAGGGACTGAGTTTGATTCATGGGGGGGGGGGGGGGGGGCTGAGTCTGAGTGAAAGAGGGTCTACCCTAGCAAACCTTTTGTACTGTTACCCCAATACCCCCATGCATATGGGATATATTGAGCATGGTGATCAGATCATGATATGAATAAACATAACAGTTTAAATAATGTACCAGTAAGGCCTTCTTGCAGACCACCAGGAGAATTTGGGGGGGGGGCTGAAGCCCCTCAAGCCCCCCCCCCCCCCCGGGCCCGGCTACATGCCTGACACTATAGCTTACACAGCTATGCAGTGACTCCCAGCCCAACCTTCTCAATCTCAGTTTTTAGGCACCAACCACTGTGATTGATAAGAGTCTATTCTTGTTAGTTAGGAAACTAAAGAATGATTTTTCCAACCCGTCTCATGAGTAATTTTTATTGCAACAGCCAGATATGAAAAATTTGTTGCAATTCCCCCTCGCATCAATGACCGCTTACATCCCAAGAGTGTATGAGGGAGAAGATTAGTCTTCTGCTTCCTGATTAAGAGGGAGCCCCCCCCCCCCCACCGGCAGCAGCCTGGCAAGTGAAGCTTGGGGAACTTTCAAAGTCCCTACATATACCAGAGGAGTTAAGAGTAAAGGAGATAATAAGCATGTCTACAGGTTTGAACAGCAATTTTTAGATTATTGTTTTGCAAAATCCAAAGTACACATTTTGATGTCTTTATTGAACCAGTCAGAAGGCGTGTAAATTGTGTCCCTTGTGATTGGGTGGTAAAAGTATCACCACAATGTGTACTTTGGAATTTGTTTTATGGTGAAGGTAAGTGTCCTTGCACTTGTTTTAATTACGAGATACCACGCTTTATTGCTTTGCTGTTTCATTCAACTGAGTTCCTATATCTTGGAGAATAATGAAACAAGTGCCTCATCTTGAATATCTAGTGCAATAATGCTAAAAAGACAAAACAGGATATTCAACACAAACATGATGATGCCCTCTAGCTTAATAGCACCAAGGGAAAGAAGCACCTAAAATAAGAAGCACTGAGAAAGAGGAAAGAACTGAGTGCCCTAAGGAAGGAGATAAGGGAATCCAAGAAGAATCTGTCCCTCTTACCTAGTAAAATTATCTGCTGCTATCTGGAAGGACAATGTGCTGCTGCAGAATAATGTTACATGTCAGAGAGTGGTAGAGGTTATAAAAATGTGTATGTTTTGTATGCATTACTAGATGAAATAATATTGGGGTATAAATCAAATGAACAACTGAGTAAGCAAGAAAGCAAACCATATAGCTGTGTGCTGCCTGATCTCCCGATAGAAGAACTATGACTCTTCTCACAATTCTTCCTCATGCCTGAGATTACTTGGGCAATCAGGAATGGGATCATCAGTTCCTTGTTTCCCGGATGACAAGGGAACAGATCCCTATCAATCCCGGGGGCTTCTTCCCATGAAATGTAGACTGGAGGGTTTTCATGGCTACTAAACTAGTGGCCCCCGGTGGCGCAGTGGGTTAAAGCACTGAGCTGCTGAGCTTGTTGATCGAAAGGTTGCAGGGGAGCGGCGTGAGCTTCCGCTGTCAGCCCTAGCTCCTGCCAACCTAGCAGTTCGAAAACATGCAAATGTGAGTAGATCAATAGGTACCACTCCGGCGGGAAGGTAATGGCGCTCCATGCAGTCATGCTGGCCACATGACCTTGGAGGTGTCTACGGACAACGCTGGCTCTTCAGCTGAGAAATGGAGATGAGCACCACACCCCAGAGTCAGACATGACTGGACTTATTGTCAGGGGACTACCTTTTTTAAACTAGTAGCTATGTAGTTATTTTGAATATAATATAGTTAAAAGGTCATTGCTTCTTAAACTGTGGGTCCCAGCCCCAAATGGCATCCCTTTAGCTTAATGCTGGAATCATGAAAAATCTGGCAATAATAAATGTTTTCTGAATATCACCTTGTGGCTGTTTTAGACATTTGCATGAATCTGTAAGCAGAAATGTACAGTGTTTACAGTGGACTCTGCAGAATATGATTAGCTATAGTTCATAAAAAAATCAGCCTGTTTAGCAAGCCTTGAAAATGCTAATTTACTGTCAGTAAATGTCTGATTTTATACCTATTTCACATACCTATATACCCAGGGTCAAGTAAAAAATTTCCGAGGCCAAAAGGGACCATAATGGAAAAGTTTGACTGCCCAATAGGAGTCCAGCCATTGAATAGTAGTTGTAGTAGTAACAGTCCTAGTAGTAAACAATTATCCTTATTATTCAAAAGGAGATTGCCATTGGATATCTCATTATTAAAGATTTATTCTCAAATTATTTTAATAAAGAATCTGTTCAATCAATGCAGTCTTGCCCCATTCTCCATTACACCCGCCCTTCTCCTGTCCTGTACTATTTCTTCTGTAGTTGTTGTAGTTCACATGATTTTTTTCAAGCAAAGGTATATCCCATTCTCAGAACGCGTGATAATTTGAGGGATGGGAACAGGTGGGGGCTTCAAAGCATCAGGTGAAATTTCAAACCGAAGTAAAGTCATGGCCAGAGCTATTTTCATTTCATTCATGGCAAACTGCTGTCCAATGCAGTTTCTAAAAAGAAAAGAAAAAAGAACTGGTTACAAAAACATCTACATCAAGACTTAATCTGAAGAAAGCATTAAACTTTGTAAGTGTATCTGTTATTATTAAAAATCCCATATCTTAGAACAGAGAGAAGAGGAATACTCAAATTCCACAAGAATAGGAGGGCTTTGCCTTCTCCAGTGAGAAGGCCAAACTGAACCATCAAAATCTTTGCGTAGTTGAGTGTCCTCAAGAATTATTGTTCTAAAGAATCAGAGCACTAGGAAATATCCTCAAACACACAAAACCATCTGAAAATGAAACCAGGAGGGATGATGATGATGATGATGATGATTGTTATTATTATTATGTGACATCCCTTTCGGTCATGACAAATGTGGTGGCTAGTCCACTGAAAGATGCAGGATTGCCCACTCCTGATCTAGACAAGAGATACTGAGCTGATAAATTATTCTAATGTACATCTACCGTATATACTCCTATATAAATCTAAACAAAATCAGCTACAAAATCTGAGTCAACCTACCCACAGACAATGTGACTACTGTACCATATCTGAGCTAAGTGCCAAAAGGCAAGAGCTTTAGGAGAACCAACCGCTCTACTCTCTCCAGCGTGGTACTGCTTCTGGCCATTCTGAATGCCTGGGTGGGAATATGGAAACTGCCCCCCTGAGGTGTTTTCACTTCTTTGTGGAATCACCCCTGACGTATCCATGGGTCTTATCAAAAGTCATAACTATGTCCCCCAAACCTGCCCTTCACTTATACAAGAGGTTGATTTGTACACAAGTACATATAGTATGTTGTAAGGCTTACCTTGGTCCAGCAGAGAATGGCAGGAAGGCATGGGGATTTCTGCTGGATACATTCTCAGGTGTAAACCTCTGGGGATCAAATACCTAAAACAAAAATATTCCATGGGTTATTTTTAAAGAAACCTGTTTGGCTATTTTAATCAACGTTAAATACACATAAGCATAGAAACACACACATGTGTTTTCTTTTTCTTCTCCTACTTGAATGGCTCCAGTTATCACAACAGAAGTGCACTCAACTTTTGCTCTACCAAGTATTTTGGACTTCAGCTCCCAGACCTCTGGGTTAGAGCAGAGCACAAAAGATTGAACTGCAGTCCAAAATGTTTGGTGAAACAGATGCTCCTTACTCCTCAAGCAAAAGTGAATTCTCTCATAGGTCATTGTGTTATTAAAATAGCAAACACTTTAAATTAGTACTTACTTTTGTTAATCTATTAAACCTATGAAGAGTTCAACAGTTTAAGAGCTCTCATTCAAGTTTCCCTGTGATGATGGTGGGACTGAGAGAAAACCTTCCCCAAAGATCTTAACATTACTTTGAGAGAGGCAGGATAGCCTTGCAGAAGTATTCATTAAAAGCCTACTTTTCATACAAAGGAGATGCTGACAGTCAATAATTCAGTTGTAGCAAAACAACAAACATCATTGCCTTACAGCAATCAGAATGCCAATGTCACCTACCTCTGGATCTTTCCAAACACTGGGGTTCTTGTGGATGAGTTGAATACCTATTGTGATCACAGTTCCTGAAAAGCAATCAGTGGTAAAGAGCACTTAAGATGTGTCAATAACAGCCACTATAAGCTCATATTTATGGCCAGTGGTTTAAATCTTTGTTAGTAAGTTACTCTAGGCATTGCAGAAATGAACCTTTAAAGAAATAGCAATGAGCCTACTCTAGACCATATCAACTTCTTTTTTATATAGGCGTGAATTTTAACAATGATGGCATGTGTTGGCCCTCTATATCTATATCTACAGGCAATCCCCAAGTTATGAACAAGATAGGTCCTGTAGGCATGTTCTTAAGTTGAATTTGTATGTAAGTCAGAACAGGTACTTTTTTAAGTGTAACTCTCCAGCTATACTTTGGGAAGGGTTAACACCCCCCTCCCCCATGGTGTTTGTTTTACTGTCTGTGACTCAGTTTGAAAGACTTCACCTCACTTTCTGTCCCTTGACAAATGGATTTTGAAAAAAAAATCTTGTTATGGAAGCAAAGATTGTTGAGAAAGCTTCAGTTGAGACACCCTTTTCCCAGTGATAATGCTTTCAGGACTTAATGTCTATTCCTAAGGTTAGATTTCTCTGTTGTCTCACTCCCATTTCTAACTATGAGTTGTTTATAAGTCTGATGTTTGCAACTCAGGGACTACCTGTACATCTGTATCTATTGTTATCAGAGAAAAATGAAAGCAAACATACCTTCAGGCAAGGTCCTTCCATCAAAAAATGTGATAGGTTTGGCGAGCTCTCGGGACACTCCTGGTACTGGGGAATAAATGCGGAGGCTCTCTTTAATGCACATGGTGCAATAGGTCATCTTGCTAAGATCATCCCTGGACAAAATTGGAGACAGAAAGAGTAAAAAAATAAAAATGTCTATACATTAGACCAGACTATATGTTGGCTGTATGTTCACCATCCAGATTTTATGGAATGGTTGCCCTTTTAGAAGTTATGCCAGTGCATCTTGGCATTCAGGTGCTATGTGTTGCACCTCAGCAGGAGTTCACCTTGCTCACAGCACTCACCAAGAAATCAAACATGGTAATAAACAGTTTATTGATAAAAACACATATAAAAAGGGCCAAAGACACAGCAAATAAAAGGGTAAAAATATAAGAGTTAATAAAGGAAGCAAGTCCCAAAGGCAATAGGTAAATCCAGAAAGCAATGGTTAAAACATGAACATCAATCCAGGCAACAAGGAGCAAAACATGGGCATGAATCCAAAGGTAAATCCATAAAACAAGGAGCCAAACTTGATCATAAATCTTGGCTCTTGAACTAAGGCATGAACTAGGAACCAGACAGGAGTTCCACACTCCAGTAGCGATGTTGCTTGATCTAAAATTCTAACAGCTCTCTCACTAATTTAAGGACTGCAAAACATGAACACATTCCTTTGACCTTGAGAGGCCTAGTTCTACCTCTCTTTGTCACAGATTTTTCCTGCACCTGAATCTCTGCCCCCTCAGAAGCAGCCTGGTATCTCGGTCTAAGCCAGCTGCTTCCTCGGATGAGCTCATATTATCCTCCCCTCCCTGTCTGTTGAATTCCAAAGCAGTTCCACTTTCGCCCTTGGTATCAGCAACAGCATCTTGCTCCAACCCCACCCCCTTCCCTCAGCAACAGAACCATCTTGCTCTAAAACCCCCTCTGTTTGCTCACCTACCCATCAGGCCCTGAACCCTCAAACCCCTCATCTTCATCTGGCTGAACCACAACACTATGCAGCCTCAAAACAAAAAGCACAATTGCTGCATCAGACTGACGAGCGAATGTAACACCATTAACAATCATGCCTACAGCAACTCTGTCATTACCCCGCCAATCACAACATTGCAGCAGAATAACCTATTTATGGATCACTGTGAATTATTGCAGAAACAATATAAAATCCAGTGCATCCCTTCTTGCATGTACAAGACATGAGCAAACCAGCTGGTAGGCAAAACCTGTCTCCCAAGAGGTCTGGAATTCTCTGACAACTACCAGTGACAAACACATTTCTGAGCCATTGCATTGTTCTGCTCACCTGTTGCAAGGTAAATTTATAGTGATTTTTTTCTGTCCAAAGGACATAATTCCTTTTGTGTTTTTCCACCTTTATTTTAAATGTTCATTTCAATGAAAGCCTCTAGTGTGGAACAGAAAATCTGTTGAGGGCAGAGCCATAGAATATCAAAAAGACAAGCTACCCACTTCTATAATGGGAAAACAGTAGCTACTCACTTCTGTAATGGGAACTCCCCTCATGTCTTGCAATTACTATGCTGAGTCCTTTTAATTACTTTTAAAACAAAAACCAGGAAGCTTACAGCCAGAAAAGGGAGATGTCTGTATGCATACTTGTATTCATTAGCACAGTTATGATTACCTCAGCCATTAAAGATGAAAGCTCACCATTCAATTGTGCCACGGTCTCCCAGAATGGACTTTACCTCCTCCCTACATCTCTCCTGATGTTCTGGGTTCATTGCAAGGCAATAAAGCATCCAGGAAATCCCACTTGCTGTGGTATCATGACCTTCAAACATGAAAGTGTCCACTTCTGCACGTACATCTTCATCAGATAGTCCAATCCCATTTTCATCCTAAACACAATGACGCAAATATCAGCAATCTGAAATTAATTCCTTAAAAATTAATTCATTACTCCTAATTCACCAAAATTGCATTAAATAATGCATTAAAATGTCATTTTAACTGTAAAATGTCAAGGATATCTTCTGATTAACTATTAACATTTCACATTATCTTGTTAGCTTTGGGGGTAATTTTGAGTGTTGGTATTTTTAGTAACTAAATTATTTCATCTGCAAGGGCCGCTTCCTGCATGGCAGAAGGGGCTTGGCCTGGATGGTCCCTGGGATCTTCCACTGAAATACTTTTAAGTTTATGTTGGTTAAAATTGTTCTTCATTTTAAATATTGCATCGTCCTTTCTTTCTTTCTTTCTTTCTTTTCTTTTCTTTTCTTTTCTTTTTTCTTTTTTGCATTATTAACGAGATATGTGCAGCGTGCATAGGAATTTATTCATTTGTTTCATTTAGTTCAAACAAACATTTTCCATCCATCTGCCACTGGCCTGGCCTGTCTATCCAATTTTAAAACGCAATGCATCAAAATGTTTTTCCACGGCTGATATATATATATATATATATATATATATATATATATATATATATATTATATAAAATATAGAATATATAAACATTTCTTGTGGCTCCTTTGCTTCAAAAAGGGCTCTGCATCTGAAAAAGTTTGAGAACCCCTGATCTAGCCTATCTGTCAAACCTCTCCCTTTGAGCATGCCAGACCCTGGGGACCACAGGACAAGCATTTCTTTTAGTCCCACTACATTCACAGATACAAATGATAAAAGCACAAGAGAGAGAGCCTTCTTGGTGATTTCCCATAAACTTTGGAACTTCATTCTTATGGCAGAAAGAGTGCTCTCCTCCTTGTTTTCTTTCTGTCAGCAGGCATTTTTTATTATTATTCAGATATGTTTTTAGAACCAAAGGCTCCTAAAGAAAACATCTGTAAGTGCTGTATTGTTTAAATTGTACTGTTTTATTTGTTTTCTACCTTTTTAAAATGTAGATTTCAAATTGTTATAGTATGGATAATTTCATTCTGTAACTATTTCACCTTTTGTTTTGTTATTAATTGCATTGCAACTATTTAAGATGAAAACCACCTTGAGTCCCAATTTTGAAGAATGGGTAAGGTATAAATAAAGTTGAGAAGGGGTGAAGAGAAGGAGGATAAAGAAGAAGAAAAAGAACAGGAAAACAAGGAGGAGGAAGAGCAGCAGCAGCAGGGACAGGGAAACATTTTTCTCAACCAAGCTTAAAGATGAAATGAACTAAAAAGGAAGAATCTACAGAGGAGAAAACAGTGCAAGTAATAAAGTTACATATTGCCTGGATTATGTGCAAGAGATAATACCGTTTCACACTTCCTACGCCAAACAGAATGCAAAATTAGCAGCTAGTCTGAATTGAACTATTACTACCAACAGTTTGATATACATATTTCAGAAAAGAAGACCATATCAGATATTTATTGTTCCTTGGAAACAAAAGAATTTCAGTATGCAAGTCAAAGCATGTATGCAATCTTTTCCTGCTGTTTTTATTTTGTTGGCTACTCTCCACAAAATCAAGAAGTGAACTCTTATTTCTTGCAGTGCCTGGAGTTTCCAAACCTTCAATGCAAAATTCTTGTGTTATGGTGAATTATGGTAGTTCAGGCTGAAGGCCACAAAAATATGGAATAATTCTGTACTTCAGGACTTACTTTGGCACAGAGAATGATATCCAAAAAATCCAAGTATCTCTTCTGCTGGATCTTTTGGAGTTCTTCTTCATCCCCCAGTAATTCCTTTCTCTCCTTAATGATTTTTTCTGTGTTTAAAAATGAACAATATAATAATTTACCAAAATTACCTGTTCACAGAGACACAGGCAAATATTAATTTCAAAGCAACAACATAGTATCAAGAAACTATCAACTGGTAAGAAGGGGTATGCATTATTCCATTTGACGATACCAGATTCGGGGAAACTCTGCAATCCGGCTGCCAAACTACTGAAAACGGACTGTGCAGGGGGCAGACAAAGGCTTAACCAATATGGATCACAAGCAGCCGGATCTTTTGGCTAATGGGATTATCCTTCATAAGGTTGTGAGGTCCTCACAACCTCTGAGGATGCTTGCCATCGATGCAGGTGAAAAGTCAGGAAAATGCTTCTAGAACATGGCCATATAGCCCGAAAAACCTACAACAACCCAGTGATTCCAGCCATGAAAGCCTTCGACAGCACAATAACTGGAAATGCTGTGTAATTTGTCCACCACTGGTATGACACAAACTCTAAAGGGAAAAAAGAATCAGGAAGAGAACCTGTATGAAGATGAGCAACCTTGCATGCTTTCCGAAATCGATATGCCTGCGGAGTGAACCAGTACGTCATATCATGGTGGCCCAAGATGGTGAATAATCTCCCAAATACCAAGGAGCAAAGTTCAAAGACTGCTTTTACATAGGAGTTCTCCCTAAGGGTCAAATAAGGAAATCATGTGGTCTTAATCCTTGAACATTCTCAATGCCATAAAGTCTTACAGTGACTGCAATCCTAAACCTCTTTATATCAGAACTAGCTGTACCCTGCCACGCGTTGCTATGGCCTATAGTAAATCTTTACAAAGTAGAGGTAGATATCTGGAGTATTATGATAGAGAGATACCTACCTATTCCTTCCCCCTTTTTCTCCCCCTTTCTCTCCTTTCTTCCTTCTCTACCTCTTTCTTTCTTTCTTTCTTTCTTTTTTTCTTTCTTTCTTTCTTTCTTTCCTTCTTTCGCTCCTTGGTTTCATCCTTCTCTCTTTCCTTCATTCCCTCCCCCTTTCTTCCTTTGCCTCCTTTCTTCCCTCCATGTTTCCTTCCTTCTTTCATTTTTTATTTCCTTTTCTCCTTCCTTCTTTACCTCTTTCCTGCCTTTCCTTCCTTTTATTTTTCTTTCCTTTCTACTTTCTCTTCTTCCTTCCTTCGGTACCTCTTTCTTTCCTGCCTTCCCTCCTTCCTTTCTTCCTTCCCAATGCTTACCAAACCCTTCTCGTGCTTTCTCTTGGGTCATGGGAGTCCTGTGTGCCACGTTTGGTTTATTTCTGTCGTTGGTGGAGTTCAGAATACTTTGATTATAGGTAAACTATAAATCCCAGCAGCTACAATGGAGGGGGGTGGGAGGAGGAGGAGGAGGAGTGCAGGGGCGGGCGTCGGTGGGTGTGGGAGGGTTGGGGGGTGGGAGGAGGAGGAGGAGGAGTGCAGTCAGTGTGGGCGGGGTAAGATGAAGGAGGGGGAGGAGGGATGGTTTTGACAGGGCGGGAAGCAGCGCAGCGAGGCTTGGAGTGGGCGGGGGGGAGTGAAGGAGCGTGGGGTTGTGTGTGTGTGTGCTGCAGCGGGGAGTGAAGGAGCGTTGGGTTGTGTGTGTGTGTGCGCGGGGGGGAGTGAAGGAGTGGGTTGTGTATGTGTGCGCGGCGGCGGGGGGAGTGAAGGAGCGTGGGTTGTGTGTGTGTGCAGCGGGGGGGGAGTGAAGGAGCGTTGGGTTGTGTGTGTGTGTGCAGCGGGGGGGAGTGAAGGAGCGTTGGGTTGTGTGTGTGTGTGCGGCGGGGGGGAGTGAAGGAGCGTTGGGTTGTGTGTGTGCGGCAGCGGGGGGGAGTGAGGAGCGTTGGGTTGTGTGTGTGTGTGCAGCGGGGGGAGTGAGGAGCGTGGGGTTGTGTGTGTGTGTGCAGCGGGGGGAGTGAAGGAGCTGGGGGGTGTGTGTGTGCAGGCGGGGGGGAGTGAAGGAGCGTTGGGTTGTGTGTGTGTTTGTGGGGGGGGGGGGGGGTGAAGGAGCGTTGGGTTGTGTGTGTGTGTGCAGCGGGGGGGAGTGAAGGAGCGTTGGGTTGTGTGTGTGTGTGCAGCGGGGGGGAGTGAAGGAGCATTGGGTTGTGTGTGTGTGCAGCGGGGGGGAGTGAAGGAGCGTTGGGTTGTGTGTGTGTGCAGCAGGGGGGTGAAGGAGCGTTGGGTTGTGTGTGTGTGCGGGGGGAGTGAAGGAGCGTTGGGTTGTGTGTGTGTGTGCAGCGGGGGGAGTGAAGGAGCGTTGGGTTGTGTGTGTGTGTGCAGCGGGGGGAGTGAAGGAGCGTTGGGTTGTGTGTGTGTGTGCAGCGGGGGGAGTGAAGGAGCGTTAGGTTGTGTGTATGTGTGCAGCGGGGGGGTGGAGCGTGGGTGTGTGTGTGTGCAGCGGGGGAGTGAAGGAGCGTTGGGTTGTGTGTGTGTGTGCAGCGGGGGGGAGTGAAGGAGCGTTGGGTTGTGTGTGTGTGCAGCGGGGGGAGTGAAGGAGCGTTGGGTTGTGTGTGTGTGTGTGCAGCGGGGGGGAGTGAAGGAGCGTTGGGTTGTGTGTGTGTGTGCAGCGGGGGGGAGTGAAGGAGCGTTGGGTTGTGTGTGTGTGTGCAGCGGGGGGGGTGTGAAGGGGCGTTGGGTTGTGTGTGTGTGCAGCGGGGGGAGTGAAGGAGCGTTGGTTGTGTGTGTGTGCAGCGGGGGGAGTGAAGGAGCGTTGGGTTGTGTGTGTGTGCACAGCGGGGGGGAAGGAGCGTTGGGTTGTGTGTGTGTGGCAGGGGGGAGTGAAGGAGCGTTGGGTTGTGTGTGTGTGTGCAGCGGGGGGAGTGAAGGAGCATTGGGTTGTGTGTGTGTGCAGCGGGGGGGGTGAAGGAGCGTTGGGTTGTGTGTGTGTGTGCAGCGGGGGAGAGTGAAGGAGCGTTAGGTTGTGTGTGTGTGTGCAGCGGGGGGAGTGAAGGAGCGTTGGGTTGTGTGTGTGTGTGCAGGGGGGGAGTGAAGGAGAGTTGGGTTGTGTGTGTGTGTGCACGGGGGGGGGGTGAAGGAGCGTTGGGTTGTGTGTGTGTGTGTGCAGCGGGGGGGAGTGAAGGAGCATTGGGTTGTGTGTGTGTTTGCAGCGGGGGGAGTGAAGGAGATTTGGGTTGTGTGTGTGTGTGCAGCGGGGGGAGTGAAGGAGCGTTGGGTTGTGTGTGTGTGCAGCGGGGGGGAGTGAAGGAGCGTTGGGTTGTGTGTGTGTGTGCAGCAGGGGGGGAGTGAAGGAGCATTGGGTTGTGTGTGTGCGTGCAGCGGGGGGGGGAGTGAAGGAGCGTTGGGTTGTGTGTGTGTGCAGCGGGGGGAGTGAAGGAGCGTTGGGTTGTGTGTGTGTGTGCGCGGGGGGGGGGGGGGAGCGGGGTGTGTGTGTGTGGCGGGGGGAGTGAAGGAGCATTGGGTTGTGTGTGGTGTGTGCAGCGGGGGAGTGAAGGAGCGTTGGGTTGTGTGTGTGCAGCGGGGGGGGTGAAGGAGCGTTGGGTTGTGTGTGTGTGTGCAGCGGGGGAGAGTGAAGGAGCATTGGGTTGTGTGTGTGTGTGCAGCGGAGGGGAGTGAAGGAGCATTGGGTTGTGTGTGTGTGCAGCGGGGGGGAGTGAAGGAGCGTTGGGTTGTGTGTGTGTGTGCAGCGGGGGGAGTGAATGAGGTTGGGTTGTGTGTGTGTGTGCAGCGGGGGGGGGGGAGGAGCTGTTGGGTTGTGTGTGTGTGCGGAGGGGGGGAGTGAAGGAGCGTTGGGTTGTGTGTGTGTGTGCAGCGGGGGGAGTGAAGGAGCGTTGGGTTGTGTGTGTGTGTGCAGCGGGGGGAGTGAAGGAGCGTTAGGTTGTGTGTATGTGTGCAGCGGGGGGGGGTGAAGGAGCGTTTGTGTGTGTGTGTGGCAGGGGGGGAGTGAAGGAGCGTTGGGTTGTGTGTGTGTGTGCGGGGGGAGTGAAGGAGCGTTGGGTTGTGTGTGTGTGTGCAGCGGGGGAGTGAAGGAGCGTTGGGTTGTGTGTGTGTGTGCAGCGGGGGGGAGTGAAGGAGCGTTGGGTGTGTGTGTGTGCAGCGGGGGAGTGAAGGAGCTTGGGTTGTGTGTGTGTGTGCAGCGGGGGGGAGTGAGGAGCGTTGGGTTGTGTGTGTGTGTGCAGCGGGGGGAGTGAGGAGCGTTGGGTTGTGTGTGTGTGTGCAGCGGGGGAGTGAAGGAGCGTGGTTGTGCGTGTGTGTGTGTGGCGGGGGGGGGAGTGAGGAGCGTGGGTTGTGTGTGTGTGGCGGGGGGAGTGAAGTATGGGTGTGTGGGGGGGGGGGGGGGGGGGTTGGGGGGGTTGGGGTGGGGTGTGTGGGGGGGGAGTGAAGGAGCATTGGGTTGTGTGTGCGTGTAGGGGAGAGTGAAGGAGCGTTGGGTTGTGTGTGTGTGTGCAGCGGGGGGGAGTGAAGGAGCGTTGGGTTGTGTGTGTGTGTGCAGCGGGGGGGGAGTGAAGGAGCGTTGGGTTGTGTGTGTGTGTGCAGCGGGGGGGAGTGAAGGAGCGTTGGGTTGTGTGTGTGTGTGCAGCGGGGGGGAGTGAAGGAGCGTTGGGTTGTGTGTGTGTGTGCAGCGGGGCCGAGCGTTGGCCGGCAGGCCATGTGCGCGCCCCAGGGAACTTGCAGCTGGGTGCCATTGCGCATGCTCTGTTGTTTTGTCCTTTTGTGAGTGTGTTGTTGTGTTGTTTTTCATTTTGATTCAGTTTGTTTGTACCTTGTGGGTTGAGGTATGTGCATGGGAATTTTGGTTAATTTCCGTTGGAGGGTTTTTGAGTTTTGCTGTCTCGTTGGATCCCCCTTACAGATTTATATATATAGATAAGTCTTATTCAACTGAATTGTACCATGAAATAAGTATTTGGGATTCTAATATTGTATGCAAAATAGACAGTGAGTTTCCTTGAGGAGAGAAAAAGCAGGGTATAAATAAACATATTAATATTTCAAGTTTTTTTTAAAGGGAACTCTGAATGTTTAGCTGTTACTGCTATAAACAAACAATACCTTTCCTTTGAGATTTGCTGTCTTTCTGCCACAGCCTTTATGTATAAAAGCTCACTTTTATTTTTATTTTATTTTGTAAGAAGAAAAATTACAACTTTGTCTGCATTTCCAGGTGGCAAAGTGATTTTAATGAGACATGTGGGAATTTGGAGGTTGCCTACACTAGTGCTATAGAAATACAGAATGTATTAGAACAGAGAAGCTTTCCTCAGTCCTTCCAAGCATTTATGTAAATATTGGTTAAATTAGGATGGGATGCCTCTACTGTGTATTTCACGCAGAATTTGGAAAATTATTTTTGATATTCATGTTTGATCCCTCATCTGTGCTGGGAGTTTGGGAATTATTTATTTATTTACAGTATTTATATTCTGCCCTTCTCACCGCGAAGGGGACTCAGGATGGATCACAGAACATACATATGCAGCAAATATTCAATGCTGTTTCATACACAACTAGACAGACAATTAAACATAGATTAGAGGTATATATTTATTGGCTTTCCCCATCTTTCCAGCATCATGGAAGACGATTGCTTGATTCTGGCCATTTGGGGGGGGGGGGTTGCTCTATCTCCCTGCTGAAGAGCTAGTTCGTATCTTCTTCCTTTGGATTGAATCACCATCATTGTCTCAGAATACCATCCAAATAAGTAATGTTGTCAAGCTCTGATTTCATATTAATGAACTATTGTGTGGGAAGTGAAATATAAATTTGGGATAGGTAGATGGAGTATTTTAAATCCCTACTCAGTGCATTCCAAGCCAATAAAATGAGCTTTTGCAGGGAATTAATGCTTAACCATTACTAACCTGTCCAGTTGACAATTGGTGTTATAACTGAAGGCACATTTCATGATACTGTCAAGCGTCATCAAGCTCACATGTTCAAAGAGCTCTACCGATTTCTGCTGTGTGATCAACTGTTCCCATTTATCCTAAATCAAGAGATGGAAAATAATTTAAGTTTGTGTTGCTTTCAACCTTTAGGAAATGTAATCTCAATACCAAGTTCTGGTAGTCCTGTTGTGGCCACCTCTCTCTGTAGGCTACATAGGCTCCTTCCACATAGATGTATAAAATCCACATTGAACTGGAATATATGGCAGTGTGAACACAGATAAAACAGGTCAAAGCAGATATTGTGGATTATCTGCCTTGATATTCAGGGTTATATGGATATGTGGAAAGGTCCATAGTTTAAGCCTGTAGACTACTTGTATGAGTCATCTTCTCGCTTTAAGATCTTTATGAGACATTTGCAGCAATTGTTTGAAGGCTTTGTAGACATTTCCCCTAGGATGCAAGTAATCTCCCTTCCTAGTAGTTTTGTATTGGAGGGAAAGAAATCATGCAGACCTCTAGATTTTGTTGGACTGTAAGTTCCAGCATTCCTCGCCACTGAATATGCTGGCCTGGATTGCTGGTAATAACAGTGCACCATCTTCTAGACATCTGAATGATTCTACCCCCTGATGTAAAAAAACTAAAATTCAAGAAGTAACTAGTGTCTTAAGCATTTGTTATGTGTATATCATAAGCGATGGTTTATGTTCACAGAATAACAGAAACATAGAGTTGGAAGACATCACGTGTCATGCAGTCCAACTCAATTCCATGCAAGAACACACAATGTTATCTATGTTTTGTTGCTTAAATCACAAATCATATAGCAGGTTACCAAATAAATCATGTTTAGTGTTCCCCCCCCCCCCCCCCCGCTTTGTAGTTCCTCACTTTTGTCAGACAGAGTTTGTAAGCCCACAGTAAAGCATGAGTTAAGAGTTTGATTTGTGTCTGGCTTCTTAGCAGAGGTTGATCTTCACATCTGCAGAATAAGCTAGATTTCCATGAACGATGCCTTAGTATTTTCATGGAGGCAGATGTAGTAATTGAGGTATTTTTCACAGCAACATCATCACCAATAGAACTATTACCAAGATAATAAGGTAAAACATTTCCTATAAAACCACTTGCCAACATCACTTTGGTAGACTCTGCCATTAGTTTCACATAGGGCTTTAAAATGTTATAGTGGAAACCTGGAGTAAGCAGTTTTCGATGCTGTGCCCACTTTGGTCCGTGTAAGACCAGCAAGCCTTCTCCTAGGGAAACACAAACATAGCTTATCAGTGTACAAATAGAATCATAAAATCACAAAATTGGAAGAGATCACATGGTTCATCCAGTCCAATCCCCACAGCAGGAGAAGCACAATCAAAGCAAATACAGTTTCACATATTCAAACAGAACACTCCACTAATCACCATAGTTTGCAGCATCGATAGATTTTGTTTTGCTTACCTAACTCACCCCAAAAGTAACTGGACCAAAGGATCCCTGATATAATTAGAGATCTTGAAATAGCAAATATCCACACAGGTACCCAGCATGAGAATTTGAGCATCATTTCTAAAGTAGGTAATTGTACAAATTTAGATGCTTTAAGTAACAGCTCATCTGATGCCAGTTTCTAGAGCTTTTGTGTTTATATATCATTCAATTTCTCTCAACCTTTTTATATATCATAGCTGGTGCCTATTATTTTTTTGCTGGCTGGGTCATTATTAAATTCTCATTTTGCAGTCTTCCATAGATGTATTTTCTGTTTTGCTTCTGTTTTCTATCCTTTAAATTAAATGAGAGGTTTGAGCTAAGCTCAAGTTGGAAACATACCACAGTGCCCTGAATATATATTTCCATTCAAGAGTCTTTGTGTTCAAAAAAGATCTAAACACTACACAGCATTGCATTTCAAACTTTCTTCTCTTCTTTGAAGACTGACTGGAATTACAAAATGGAAATGCATACCTCTGTCCTGTCACTACATGTATCCATGTGCAAACATGTGAAGGTGTAGACAGATGTGTGTGTGTATATATAAGCCAAATTACATTCCAAACTTTTGGTGTTTTTAATTATGTCAACGTATGGCAAACAGAATTTATGCAGTAATCAAAATATTTGAGTGGAGTCATCTATACAATCTACTGATAATGGATAGCATTCAAACATGAGACAGGGCCTTTTCCGTGGTGGCCCCCCGACTCTGGAACACCCTCCCCAAAGACCTTAGACAGGCCCCTACATTGGCAGTCTTCAGAAAGAACTTGAAGACCTGGCTGTTCCGATGTGCCTTTCCCGAATAGGAAACTTTTCATTACCAAGTCCCACAAGCACTTTATTAAAGCCAAGATCGCTGCACACTGCACTTGTCCATAAGCCCCATTTCCACCTGTCACATCAGCACCTTTAACCTTTATACCCTTACTCTGGCCCGGCCCAGTTTTATTGTGTCTTAATGGATTGTTCATTGCTTGTTGTTTTAGATTGCTTTAGTTATTTTAATTTACTTAGGTTTGTATTGTTGTATTGTTGTTGAGGCCTTGGCCTTTGTAAGCCGCGTCGAGTCCTGCGGGAGATGCTAGCGGGGTACAAATAAAGTTTAATAATAATAATAAATAAAAACTTGAAAGCTACATTTTTCTCTTTTATATAAATTAAAATATAATAAATTTGAGACCTTTCTGCAGAACTTTAATTTCTATTACAACATTAAGCTGCATATACTGTAGTACAAATTCCATACCCATAGGACTGATATTTCCTGGAAGTTACCATAGAATTATTTTGAAAGCCTAGAAAATCTTTAGTGAGACATCCTCTAGGAATTTTCTAGGTCTTCCAGGGCATGTTTATGGCAACTTGCAGCAAAGTTCATTCGTTTCATTAAAGTTTGCTATTAACCATAGTTACCAGTTTCAGAAATATGTGAAGTCACACTATACTTGCAGAACCTGTCCATAATTTTATTCTTGCGTAACACCTACAAACTCTATTTATTTTCATTGATAAAAACTTGGCAAGTATCTGTTAGCATATAAATGTATTTAAATGTCTGTATTGTCTTTAAACAGTAATTCTTTGGGCTGTTTGCATAATGTAAAAACACCAACATCTCAGAGTTTTCTCCATTATAATGGATTTCTATAGATAGATAGATAGATAGATAGATAGATAGACAGATAGATAGATGTGATTTTTCAATATAAATTGCAATGAAGTTTAAACAAAATGGAGGAGAAATCAGATGAAGAGTAGCTTCCCTTTTATCAGAGTGTTGAAATTCAGCCTGTGTTTGTGTTTCAGGATCATGGTGCTTCTGATGTGGGAAATGATGTGGGAAATGACTGTACCGAGGGTCAAGATGGAGATGATCTGGTCAATGATATTCATGCTGAGAATGACAGAGAGACACCAGTTCAAAGGGCAGTTTCTCATGAGAATGTTAGGGGTTCAACCCCCCCCCAAATGTTTCAGATTTTTTTTTAAAACCTGGTTTACTCATGAATTTTAACTGGTTAACCAAATCCCCATGCTAAGTCTATGAGATGCAAAAATTAAGAGTCCCTCCAGAACTGCAAGCACTATCTCAAGCAAATATTGACAATTTATTCACACTGTCATTACTTGCAGCAATAGCCGATGTAGTGAAGCAACCAAGTTGGGGGGGGGAGGGGTTGAATGCTCTCATTAAAGGTGATGGTACTCACCTTTAAGGCCTTGCATGGTCTGGGGCCGATGTACCTGAGGGACCGCCTCACCCCCTACCAACCCCAGAGATCCCTCCGTTCTGAGGACCAAGATTTGTTGGAAATTCCCAATGTCAAGACCTTGCGTCTAACAGCAACCAGACGCAGAGCCTTTACAGCAGTGGCACCATCACTCTGGAATACTCTGCCACCTGAAGTCCGTGCCTTGCGGGACTTATCAGCTTTCCGCAGGGCATGTAAGACATATCTGTTTTGACGCCTTTGATCTTTGATATTGCTGTTTTTAAATTGTTTTAAATTGTTTTTAAATTGTGTTAGATTTTAGCCTGTTCTTGTAAGCCTCTCCGAGCCCCAGGGGAGTGGCGGCATATAAGTTTGAATAATAAATAAATAAATAAATAAAGGAGGCCAGACTTGGTGGAGGTGGTTGACAGGGGCAGAGCTATTGAAGGCTGCTCTGCCCCTTGCTGTGCTCTTTGCTTCAGCGTGAGCTAGGAGGCAGGTTTCAACCCTCCCCCGCCAAAAATTTCAAAACCCCCCCTGAAAATTTCAACCCCTCCCGAAATCTTTTTCTGGCTATAGCCCTGGACACCAGTGCAAAGGGCAGTTTCTCATGAGAATGTTCCTGCAGGGCATAGGGATGATAGTTTACTCCCTGACTCTGTGAGCTCTCAAGATTTGGGGTTTGAAAACAACTTGACGTCTGGAGGAATTAATGAGGAGCAAGCTAAGGAGCTCATAGATAGGTGGCTAGAGTTCAGACAGAATAGGCAGCTAACTCAAGGTTTGCGTCACTCCTCCAGGCTCCGAGAGATAAGAGCCAAGAGCGATAGCCGGGGAAAGCAAAACCAGTTTCTGAGTATTGGGATATAAGGTCTGCCTCAAGGGAAAACTTGTTAGATCAAGCATCATCTCAGAAACCTAGTTCTTGTTCCATAGAAGTCTTGCTTGGAAGATTCATGTTAAGGGTACTTGTTCATGGTTGAATTTCTTGGTCTTTTTTGGAGTCATCTACAGTCTGGGTTTTGCTTTTAGATTTTGTTAAACCCTGCCTTGGATTGCCTGTGTATTTTGTTGAATCCTGCTTTGGATTACTTTGTTCCTGCTGATCTTTTTACCTTATTGGGACTTCTCTACTTTCTTAAAAGCATATATTTTCAATTGTCTATTTTACTAAGCTTCAATAAAAAAGGAATGTTTTCCTATTCATTGTGTGGTATTTTGAAATCAGAGGGTTATTCCTGTCCTGGGGTGCAACTGAGCTCTCTAGCTATGGAATATCTGCACCAATAACCTAGAATGAAAACCTATATACTTCTAGCTATGTTATTTATTTAAGTTTTTTTTTAAAAAAAACTTCCTTCAGTTACTACTTCATTACACAGTCCATACATACCAATCCATGGGATCATGTTTCGATAAGTTAAATTGTCCTTTGGATCTGTAAAAAAAAAAAGAGTTAATAAGAACAAAGAGAATGAAATTGCCCCTCATTTTTTGTTCATTATTCTTAAAACCTTTAAACCACTTCATCAAAAATATTCCCAGGATAGTGTAAATAACATTATGTAATCACACAAATGCAAAATATCAAGCATATGAGCCATTCGACCAGAGAACAAATGACAAATTCAATTGAAACTTAAGACTAAATCCATTTGCTTGTCCCAAATAGAGTAAATCCAATGAATAAACTGGATTTGTGCATATTCCATCTTATTATTTATTTATATAAGTCATTAATTCACACTCGCTAGATCACCAAGATCCCTGAACACAATAGGTACAAATACTTTTAAAGCATATACTACGTAAAATAAAACTAAAGGCTTCATTTAAAAAAAAAAAGCTTTACTGTTTTTAGGTGGAGTTACTACTTAGCTGATAATTGAATGGGTTAGTAGCAAGGACTAAATTCCACTGGGAATTTAGATCAAATTCCCAGTGGGGGAAAGAGACATTGTGATCTAGCACTGATGTAAGTATAATCTCATCTGCCTTGGGAAGACATTCAATCAAAAGCAGTCCTTCCCTCTCAAGCTTTTAATCTCTTCCTTTAAAGGAAGAGCAGTCCTAACCAAGTCACTAGTAACTCAGGGCCCTTCCACACAGCCCTATATCCCAGAATATCAAGGCAGAAAATCCCACTATATCTGCTTTGAACTGGATCCCTTCCACACAGCCCTATAACCCAGAATATCAAGGCAAAAAATACCACATTATCTGAGTGTGGACTCAGATAACCCAGTGCAAAGCAGACACTGTGGAATTTTCTGCCTTAATATTCTGGGATATAGGGCTGTGTGGAAGGGCCTTGAACCCACACTTGGATAATATGGGATTTTTTGCCTTGATACTCTGGAATATAGGGCTGAGTGGAAGGGCCCTATATTCCAGAAAGGAGCCTATATCCCAGAAAATGATGGGAAGGGCCCTATATCCCAGAAAATCCCACAATATCTGCTTTGAACTGGGTTATCTGAGTTCACACTGCCATATATCCCATTTCAAAGCAGATATTGTGAGATTTTCTGCCTTGATATTCTGGGATATAGGGCTGTGTGAAAGGGCCCTCACTAGAACCCTTGTTTTCCAGATCCTGGAGTTAGCTGTTCACAATGCCTTATCTTGTTGCAACCTTGCCTGATTCAGATTACTCTGGGCTCTCTGTCACACAGCCCTATATCCCAGAATATCAAGGCAGAAAATCGCACATTATCTGGGTGTGGACTCAGATAACCCAGTTCAAAGCAGATATAGTGGTATTTTCTGCCTTGATATTCTGGGATATAAGGCTGTGTGGAAGGGCCCAGATACAGAGTTGGAAACTATCAGCATTGTGATGCTTTCTCACTTCACATTTTTGCAGAATAACAGAAAAAAATCAAACTTGAAGAATTACACAATTTTCCCTGTGCTTCTTTCTAAAACTATCCAGGCAAGTATGTGCAGAACCATCATATTAGTATAGTCCCATCTCCCATGCACAGAGCTGGTTCAGTAAGATGCCACGGTTGATACTACCAAAAACATGGTTTAAGCAGCATTGATACGGTTGTATTTTTCCTATCTGTTTGCTGACAGTAGTCATCTATCCAGGTGACCAAGAGCACTTCCACACAGCCCTATATCCCAGAATATCAAATCCCACGATATCTGCTTTGAACTGGGATATTGGAGTCCATATTGCCATATATCCCAGTACAAAGCAGAAAATGTGGGATTTTATTCAGCTGTGTGAAGGGGCCCAAGAGTGTTTCCATGCCCAAACCTATCTAAATCCAGATAGAAATATATTTAGATAATACATTTCATCTTACTCTTTCTGTTTCACTATTGTGTTGTAATGCTTTCTTACCTCAATCACCAATGTGAACAATTTTTGATTTTGGAGTGTTTTGGATTTTCAGATAAAGGACCCGCAACTTGTATCGTGGATCATATTAAATCCTAGCTTCCTTTTTTTGCTCTAGTGGATAGTTGGAAACAATCTTTTTTTTTTTTTGCTTGCTTGCTTGCTTTTTTGACAGCTGTATCAGAATCAATAGGATATTGTTTGTTCTTTGACTTAAATTCACATGCATACTCATAGTGACGGATTAAGACTGTGTTTTACCTGCTCTAGCAAGTAATGTTTTTGCGTAGTCAGGATGAGTGATTGTTAAATTGGCAAAGTACCTTCCAAACCACAATGGATAGGCATATGGATATAGAAGCATCCATTCTTTTGTCTTCTTGAACACTATGGAAAAGGGTAAAAGCTGAAAAAATACAAGATGGTAAAGAAAGAGGTAAAGGTGACATTTTTCTTGACTTTTTGAAAACAAACAGTGCTTAAATATAACATAATGGGTAATGCTATGAATCAAAATACAGTATTTTCAAATAGCTAATGATCTGGCCCAATGCAAACCCTGAAGCAAAGTTGATGTTTTAAAATATCTTGCACACTAAAACTGTCTCAAAGCTTATGTAATATGTGGTGACAAGTCTTAACAGATAACAATTTGAAAAACACTGTTCCTTACTACAAATAGTGGCAGAGTCCTAATACAATACTGTTATCAATAGGCGAGTGTGGAAAGAATGATGCTGCTCATTATTAGTGACGCCTAGTATCCGCTATCTTTGTATGACATCTATAGCATCAGATCATTTCTTTCTCTGAGTCACCATTTCTAATTTTTATTTTATGCCTAAATCTCCCATATAACCCAGGCCCCTTCCAGAAAGTCCTGTATCCCAGAACACAAAGCAGAAAATCTCACATTATCTGAGTGTGGACTGAGATAACCCAGTTCAAAGTAGATATTGTGGGATTTTCTGCCTTGATATTCTGGAATATAGAGCTGTGTGGAAGGGCCCTTAATCCCAGAATATCAAGGCAGAAAATCCCACAATATCTGCTTTGAAGTAGGTTATCTGAGTCCACACTGCCATATATTCCAGTTCAAAGCAGATGATGTGGGATTTTGTGGTGCCCATCTCCATATCTAAGCCAGCGTTGTCTGTAGACACCTCCAAAGTCATGTGGCCGGCATGACTGTATGAAGTACCATTACCTTCCCGCTGAAACGGTACCTATTGATCTATCTATTTATTTATTTCATATACTTGTACCCCACTCTTCTCACCCCCGAGGGGGGACTCAGGGCAGCCTCACAGCAAACACCATTCAATGCCATCATAATGATAAAAACAATCAACAAATTCATTAAAACAAAAAATTAAATAAACAGTTGTTAAAACACGCCAATTAAAATCCGGGTCCGGGTCAATTCACTGTCACTTCGAAATTGCTTATGTCTTCTTCATACAAGCCGCTGTTCAATGGTCAAATGCAAGGTCCCACAGCCAAGTCTTGAGTTTCCTTCTAAAGGACAGGAGGGAGGTGGCCAGTCTGATGTCTTTGGGGAGGGAATTCCACAGATGGGGAGCCACTGTTGAGAAGGCCCTGTCTCTCATCTCCACCAATTGCGTTTGCAATGGTGGTGTGATCGAGAGCAGGGCCTTTCCAGATAATCTTAAACTTTGTGATGATTTGTAGTAGGAGATACGTTCGGATATGTAGTGACATTTGCATGTTTTCGAACTGCTAGTTTGGCAGAAGCTGGGGCCAACAGCGGGAGGTCACCGCACTCCCCAGATTTGAACTGGTGACTTTTTGGTCAGCAAGTTCAGCAGCTCAGCGGTTTATATATTGCAGTTCAAAGCAGATAATGTGGGATTTTATTCAGCTGTGTGGAAGGGGCCAAGCTGATGTGAAATCAGGGGCAGCAGTGCCTCTGGAGAGGTGCTAGCCAGGGCAGGAGGCTTCTCGTTGGAAAAACTGGCTCGGCCTGGACTCTGGATGCCCTCGCTTTTGTACTGCAGAGCTATCGGCAGCCTAGGCACACAATGCCTCTTTTGAAGGCTGGGGGAGGAGGCAGGGACCGCCTGCTTGCCTGCCTGCCAGCCCCAGAAGGGATGCTTTGTGCAGGCAACGTGGGTCGGAAACCCTGTCGGAAACCCGACTTTTGGTTGGTTTGATCAGCTGGGCACCTACCTCAAAGATATGGCCATACAGCCAGTGGGCGGGGGGTCCGGGGAAGCTGCTCAGGCTTTTCAGGAGGTCCTGCCGTCGTCGGTGGAGCTGGAGAGCTTTGAGCAGCACCCAGGTCAGGCAAAAGACGGCCGCCAAGTACCAAAGCCGAGACAGGTCCATGCTGCGGCAAGGGTGGTTGGCACAGCAGAAGGGAACGAAGGAGGGCTTCAGGGGCTCCTATACATAGTCTGGGGTTCTCCCCCCGGCAAGAGGACTTGCCCAAGAAGAAAGCTCCCTGCCTAACGAAACACCTCGCCCTAGGATTTCCCGATGGGGAGGGGGAGAGGGCGCCGCAGAGCTTTGCGAAAGCAGAGGCGATTGCGGCAGAGAAAAGAGATCCACGAGGGAAGGGGTTAAAGAAAAGGGACAAACAGCCTTTTTTCTTGTTCCGAAGCAGAGTTCAATGCCCGCGGGGGGAGGAAGGGGGAGAATCCTCTGGTGTCAAGCCCAGCAGCCTTGCTCTGCACTGCATTCTAGACGAGTCCTGCTGACTCATGGCGAACGAAGGGCGCATCCAATCTGTTGAATTCAAGCAGCCTGGCACCCTTGAACTGCCCTGGCTCAATGCTATGGCATTCTGGGGATTGCAGTTCTACAAGTCTTGAGCCTTCTCTGCCAGTACGGTGCCTCACCAAACTACAATTGCTATGATTCCACAGCATTGAGCCAGGAAGATCCAAGTGGGGGGGGGGGGGCAAACTTCATTAGTTCCACAGGGTAGATGCACCCCTTCCACACAGCCCTGTTTGTTGTTCATTCGTTCAGTCGTCTCCGACTCTTCGTGACCTCATGGACCAGCCCGTGCCAGAGCTCCCTGTCGGCCGTCACCACCCCCAGCTCCTTCAAGGTGAGTCCAGTCACTTCAAGGATGCCATCCATCCATCTTGCCCTTGGTCGGCCCCTCTTCCTTTTGCCTTCCACTTTCCCCAGCATAATTGTCTTCTCTAGGCTTTGCTGTTTCCTCATGATGTGGCCAAAGTACTTCAACTTTGTCTCTAGTATCCTTCCCTCCAGTGAGCAGCCGGGCTTTATTTCCTGGAGGATGGACTGGTTGGATCTTCTCGCAGTCCAAGGCACTCTCAGAACTTTCCTCCAACACCACAGCTCAAAAGCATCTATCTTCCTTCGCTCAGCCTTCCCTAAGGTCCAGCTCTCACATCCGTAGGTTACTACAGGGAATACCATGGCTTTGACTAGCGGATCTTTGTTGCCAGTCTGATGTCTCTACTCTTTACGATTTTATCGAGATTGGACATTGCTCTCCTCCCAAGAAGTAAGCATCTTCTGATTTCCTGGCCACAGTCTGCATCTGCAGTAATCTTTGCACCTAGAAATACAAAGTCTGTCACGGCCTCCACAATTTCTCCCTCTATTTTCCAGTTGTCAATCATTCTTGTTGCCATAATCTTGGTTCTTTTTATGTTTAGCTGCAACCCAGCTTTTGCGCTTTCTTCTTTCACCTTGATTAGAAGAGTCCTCAGCTCCTCCTCGCTTTCGGCCATCAGAGTGGTGTCATCTGCATATCTGAGGTTGTTAATGTTTCTTCCAGCAATTTTCACCCCAGCTTGGCATTCATCAAGCCCCACACATCGCATGATGTGTTCTGCATACAAGTTAAAAAGGTTGGGTGAGAGTATGCAGCCTTGCCGTACGCCTTTCCCAATCTTGAACCAGTCTGTTGTTCCGTGGTCAGTTCTGACTGTTGCTACTTGGTCCTTGTACAGATTCCTCAGGAGAGAGACAAGGTGGCTTGGTATGCCCATCCCACCAAGAACTTGCCACAATTTATTATGATCCACACAGTCAAAGGCTTTAGAATAGTCAATGAAGGAGAAATAGATGTTTTTCTGAAACTCCCTGCCTTTCTCCATTATCCAGCGGATATTGGCAATCTGGTCTCTCGTTCCTCTGCCTTTTCTAAACCTAGCTTGACACACAGCCCTATATCCCAGAATACCAAGGCAGAAAATCCCATATTATCTGAGTGTGGACTTAGAGCCTTTCCATTTGCCTGGATAGTTTTAGAAAGAAGCATGGGGAAAATTCTCTTTATTCCCAAGGCATTTGAATTGTGGAATTCTACAAGTTTGATTTTTTTCTGTTATTCTATAAAAATGTGAAGTGAGGAAGCATCGCTATGCAGATAGTTTCCAGATCTGTATCTGGGCCCTTCCACACAGCCCTATATCCCAGAATATCAAGGCAGAAAATCCCACAATATCTGCTTTGAACTGGGTTATCTGAGTCCCCACTCAGATAATGTGGGATTTTCTGCCTTGATATTCTGGGATATATAGGGCTGTGTGGAAAGGCCCCAGGTAGCCTCCGGGGGGGGGGGGGGGGGGGGGGGGGGGAGGGGCACTCAGTGCCATATAGGCCACTTCCATTGTTTTCAGATGGGTTTTTTTTAAAAAAAATTGTTCTTGTTCTTGTGCTAGTTGCTAATAACATCATGTTAGGTTTTTATAATTGTTTTATTAGCTATACTCCTGTATGATGGTGTTGTTCATTTTATTGTATGTCATGTCTTTTAGCTTTTGTATGCTGTGCGCCAATTTGAGTCCCGACTCGGAAGAAAAATGAGATATAAATAAATAAATAAATAATCCCCAGAGCCCTTCAGGTGCATAGTTCTGCATGAAGCACACCTGCTAACAGCCCACCCCAAATACTGGATTGCTGAGAGTTTTTTGGACTCCTCCAGCAGCATTCTCTCCTAATGTTTTGCTTCCATCTGTGCCTGGCATCTTCAGAGCTTCTGTTGGCAGTGAAGCAAGTGGAGTGTATATTTGTCTGTGGAATGCCCAGGGTGAGAAAAAGAACCCTTGTCTAAATCAGTTGTTCCTAACCTTTTTTGACTAGGGACTACTTGACCAGGGACCACTTTGACCAGGGACCACTCTCCAACATTAGTACCAAAAGGGTTACGATTCAGTTTTTGGTCAACTTTAGATTCAGTTTGGTTATTTTTAATAAACCATTTTTAATAATCTAGAGCTGAGGTGGTAGTAGTAATCTTTCCTGGGTAGTCAGCCTCTCCCTTCCCAGCATCCCCATTGCCTCGGCACTATAAGAGGGTTTCACAAGACCAGTCGCTCTTGGCACCGTGTGATTTCGAGGCAGCGATGTAGAAATGATGGGGTTGCGGACCATATTTTCATTCTTGGGGACCACTGGTGGTCCACAGTCCACAGGTTAAGAACCACTGGCTTAATAGGAAGAACTACTGAAAGTACTGGGCTGGAGGTTTGATATTCCCAGGCAAGTCATGATTTACTTTACTGTCCGCTAGCATGTCATCCCCCCTCTCCCACTTCCCAACAATAGGAATGTCTACACTGCAGTATAAATCCAAATTTGCACCACTTTAACTGCCATGCCTCAATACTATTTAGTCATGGGAGTAGCAGGTTTACAAGATCTTTAGCTTACTCTGCTGGTTTTCACTGGGTGCCTTACCAAACTATGACTCCCATGATTCCTTAGTATTGTGACATAGCAGTTAAAGTGATGTCAAGCTTCATTAATTGTATAGTGTAGAGCAGCAGTTCTCAAAAGTGTGCTCCGCAGAGCCCTTAAGGCTCTGTGAAGCATACTGAGAGGCTCTGCACTTCCCTCCTCCTCTTCTGTTCTCCTCCCCCCCAAGCTTTCCTTCCTCTTTCCTGCTCCTACCCTCCCCACCTCCTTTCCCCAAAAAACCTTTTCCCTCACCTCCCACACCCCAAAAGCCTTTTTTCTTCACCTTTCTCACCCCCAAAAGCCTTTTAACCTTGCCTCCCTCACTCCGCCCCACCCGAAGCCTTTTTTCCTCCCACCACTCAGGGGGTGCTTTGATTGTGCTTTTCCTGCATGGTAGGAGGAAGTTGAACTGGGTGGCTGCTGAGGTTCCTCCTATTACTATTTTTATTATTACAAAGGCTGAATGGTCATTTGTTGAGGGTGTTTTGATTGAACTTTTCCTGAATGGCAGAATAGGGTTGGACCAGATGGCCCCTGGGGTCTTCCACTGAAATACTGTTAAGTTTATGTTGGTCAAAATATCTCCACATGCCTGTGAGATACACACACACACACACACACACACACATATACACACACATATACACACATTATATATAATATAATATATGCTATAATATGTAAACATTTCTTGGGGCTCCACAAAAAACTGTTGCTTCAGAAATGGCTCCACGGTTGAAAATGTTTGGGAACCCCTGGTGTAGAGGCACCCAGTGAAAAGACAAAATTCCTTGCATCAAAATAACAGTAGCAGCATCAACAGTACCATTCAACAATGGCAGACTGGGTTTAAAAATATTGGTTGACAGGAGACAAAAAGGGGCCCACCCACAATTAATTTAATTTTTATAATAAATAAATGTTTTTTTAAAAATACATAAGTGGGGAAAAGTACAATTGAAATGATTGTGAAATAAATGTTGTTGGTTTTTTTTGCCTTAAGAGTACTTCTATGTTGTAGAATTAATGCAGCATCTTTAACTGGCATGTTTCAATATGTCAGCAAGTGACCAAGGAATCACAGAGGTCTCTATGAAAATATCAATCCAATATGCTGCAAAAAAAGAACAAACTCTTAAATTGGTCATAATTAGAAAAGGGATTAGAAGTTAAGATGAAAATGCCATATGGCCCTTATCTGCAATCTAACTGTATCTGGGATACTGTTGTTGTACTTAAAAAGAATATTGTAGGGGGGAAAAGTTGGAGAAAATTTCTGATGTTGGCTGGGACCATCAAAGTGAACAGAAGCAATATTCTCTCCCCCACCCCCATCATGATTAGATTGAACTCCAGAAGATATAGCTCCCTGCTTTCCCTTTGGCTCAGGCATGAGCAAACTTCAGTCCTCCGGGTGTTTTGGACTTCAACACAATTACTAAGTTTGCCCATGCCTGCTCTAGCTGCCCATTGCCTCTTAGGGTCCTTCCAGGCAGGCTCTATTTCCCAGAATCTGAATTACTGGTTCCTGTGTGCCTTCAAGGACGATCTCTAAATGATAAACCTCACCCAAGGTTGTTTTTGAGTGCATGGACAAGGCAGCAAAGGGTTCTTTAAGAATGAATGGTGTAATTATCATAATTATTGGGGACAATGCTGACCCTCAAGCTTAGGACAAGGGAAACACTTGTTTTTCAACCTTTTTTTGTTGCAAATACCTGTTGTATTACCTCAGCCAGGAAGTGAACATCTCTTCCATTATTCAGTATTCTAGTTAGACTATCAGCCTAGGCAAATATACTTTATGGATGCATCTACACTGTAGAAATAATGTAGTTTGACACCATCTGAACTTCCATGGCTCCATGCTATAAGATCCTGGGATTTATAGTTTGGCAGGGCACCAGCACTCTTTAGCAGAGGAAGCTAAAGACTTTGTGAAACTACAACTCCCAGGATTCCATAGCACCCAGCCATGTCAGTTAAAGTGATTTCAAATTGTATTATTTCTACAGGGTAGATGCACCCTTGCTCCTCCTTTCCTTCCTCTCTGTAGTATATTTG